GGGCAGCTCCGGGTTCCCGTCCAGCGCCCAGGCCCTGTGCCCGTGGCTTTGGCCTCTCGCTGCTGCCAGGGCCTCTTGGCGCGCGCAGGGATGCAGTTTAACAGGTCTCTTGAGATCTCTTCTTCCTCTCTTCCTCTTCTTCCTCCAGATTCCGAAAGCATGAATGTATTTGTTTTGTGATAAAGATAAAATTTGTCTCTTCATAAAGAGCCTTGTGTTTTGCAGAACTGCAGGTGGATGATGTCTGCATATTTTATCAGGCTTTATAGGATATCAGACGTGCTGATTTTGTTACAATGATTTTGGGCACGGAATCATGTAGTGGCAAGATAGGGTAATGAAGTTTGTTGAAACAAATTTAACTTTGAAAGGTGTATTCTGTGAGGATTTGATTTAGTTTGGAAAATTGGGGGGAAAGTAGAAACCATTGAAACGTTCAGAGCACAATAGTTACAACTTCTGTAGCAGGACGAGCGTTACTTTTAGTAAGAGTTACTTTGATGAAAATGTTTTGTGCTCCAACTAATTTTCTGGTTTGGAAGAGGATGAGACCTCTTTTTGTCCTTTCTTGCAGTTTAGAATGGTTTATTTCTTGCTAGGAAAAAAAAAACCAAAACAACATTTGTCCTGTATTCCTCAAACTGCTGAGGTCATGTCTTAATTATGACAGCAGGAGGTACTTTTCCAAAATTCATAACAAAAAATGTTTTCTTTCATGTTTGCCCCAGATGGAAGTTAGATGACTCCCATCTGGTAACTTCCAAATGTATAAGCTTAAACTAACAAGGTGCTTGTGGCTCAATGTTTTTTGTGCAATTTGACATTTTTGATTCAAATACATTATAACTTTTTGTTTATTTTCTAGAAACATACTGCTTTTGCCACCTTTCCAAGTGAAAATGCAGCTGCAAAGGTTTGTATTGAGTTTGTTATTGAATGGTTTAGCAAAGCAGTGAGTTGTCAATGCTCTAATGTGGTTTACACATCATCTGGTACTTAGTGCTAGGAAAAAAACAAAGCAGCACGATGTAGTATGAGAGTTCTGTTTCAGGATTTGCTTGCAGGACTTGATGAAATTCTTGGAACACTTTTGTAGGTCCTAGGAATGGTAGATTGAAAGGGGTTTGTGCAAGTCACCTGATAACAGCCTGGCAAAGTTAGAGAAGCTGAGACTGATCCGAGCACTTTTTAGGATGTGTATGCATTTACATGCAAACTATAAACCAAGCAGTTTCCTTGTCTCCTGTGTAATTGTGTGTTTGCCATAAAAGTTAGCCCTAGTGATTCTCACTATCCAAGTCTGCCTTGAATGCCCAGTTTTGATAAGAAAACTACTGTATTAATAGAGGATATGGATGCCAAAAAGGTAATATTAATACTACTTTTTAAATACTAGTCCAGTTAAAAAGCCTGTGTCAGAACTTTCCCCTTATACCTTGGGTTTTTTTGTTTGTTTGTTTGTTTGGGGTTTTTTTGCATAGCTTCTGTTTTGTTTTTTTTTTTTTGGCCACACTTTAAAGGACTAAAAAAGTTAAAGTCTATATGAGGTGAGCAGTGGTGAATTAGCTGCTTGTACCAGTTGTTAGCAGCCTGCTGGGCTCTGGACTTGAAGAATGCTGGATCTTCCTAGTGCCATTGTTAACATCCTGATTTTAAAATTCGTAGCTGTTACTGACAGAATTTAGCATGCTTATGCTGCAGGAGCAAAAGGTTGGTTACTTGAAATTCCAGCACTTTAGTAGGCTGCGTGCAAGTCTGATTGTTAGGGCTGCTGCTGTGTTCAGGTGACCAACCTCTGTAGGTGCAGCCTGGACTCTTTCTTTCCTGCCAGCAGGAAATGCTGCTAAAAGCAGGGCTGGGAAGACACAAACGGTGCAGAACTCTCATGTCCACAGTAGCACAGGCTTAGCTTAAAGCAGCTGGGACTGCAATGTACGACTCAAAGAAAAAACAGTTATGCTTTAAAATAATTCTCATGTTTGTCCTCTTCCCTTTCTTTTCTCCTCTGTAATTACTTGAAGGCTTTATCAAGATTGCATCAGCTGAAACTTTTGGGTCACACATTAGTTGTTGAATTTGCAAAGGAGCAAGAGAGTGCACAGGTACTTAGCCAGCCTTCTGTCTCAGACAAGTGCAAAAGGTATGTGCAGAGTAATTTCCTTGTTGTGTTTGTGGTCAAGGAAAGGGGATTCTGGATTCATGATACTTAGGTGGTACTTGTAACTCAAAGGATGAATTGTGACCACTTGGAAGTCTTACAACAGGCTCAGATCTATAGGACAGTGACTGCATTCCTCCCAACAGAACTGTGTCATTTGCACCTGTGGAATGTGCAAATAAGTGATAAAAGCTATGTGATAGTGCTTAATTAAAAATAGTGTAGTAGAGTTTTCAAGTTATTTATTCCACTTTCTGAATATGAGCAATTTAATAATTTAATACCTTTGAAGAGAGTGCATGATAAATAATTTCAATTCTTTTCCTTTGATTGAATTTAAGTCAGGAGTGTCTTAATATAGGAAGACTTACTTAAATCTACATAAGTATTTATTTTAGAAGACTGTCACTACTGTAATTATCCTCATGTATTAATTATGAAGAATTGGTAACAGTTATAGTAATGCAGTTGATAAAAGGTGTTAAAAATACATGTGCTAATTTATTTTTATATTTATTAATAGATGATGCATCTTTTATATAATATATATAATATAAGGCATACTTAATTTTTGCCCTGTTTTAATTAAGACTAAATTTATTTTCAGTTTAGAAGAACCAGTGAAAGAAGAAGAGAAGATAGAACCAAGCTGTGTTAAAATAGAGAATGGAATTGCACCCAACCATGGGTTAGTGTTGGGTTTTTATTTATCTTACTTTATTCTGTTACTGATTATTTTGAGCTGTGTTATGTACTGAACAAGAGTTTTGTTTCCTCCTATGCTGCTGTTCTTCTGGCATAGCTGTAGGACTTGTCATAAAGATGGAATTTCATTTCCTCAAGTTTAGAATCCTCACTTCTGCATGGGGACTGGTGCTTTGAGCTATGAACTTGTGGATTGCAGAACGGCCTTCTAGCACTATGTGTTGCTTTCCTGGGAGGTTGGAGGGCTGAGGTTCTCCCAGTGTTAACAGCAGAATACCACTGACTTTTCTGACTTTTTCCTGATGTTTCTTCCTTTTTCCTCCCCCTCCCATTTTCATTTTAGCATACAGGAAGTAGTAAATTTTTTGAAGCTAAAAATGCAGCCCTTTGAGCATTGAGTTTCTGATATTTGTGCAGGCTGGGCTGCTATGCTGTGCTTTGGTTTTGGACATGTTGATTGTTTCTGTTTGCTTTAGGCTTCTGCATGGCTTGATACTTTCAGTATGCCCAAGGCCAGTAAATCTGTCATGCACTGGGGACTACTTCATGATGTCGAAGGCATTTTAAGTGGCCCAAAACTGTTCTAGGGGAAGTAATAATATTTCAGTGTTACTTCAGATGCAATCAATAGTTAAGCCTCTAGTAATCATTAGTTGTTACTGGTGATTAAGTCGCAGTAATGTTAAGGTGTCTTGTTTTCAATCTTTTTTTTTCCTCAGCCTCACCTTTCCCATCAATTCTTGCCTCAAATATTTGTATCCACCACCTTCAAGTGCAATTCTAGCAAATATAGCAAATGCCTTGGCAAGTGTGCCCAAATTCTATGTCCAGGTAAGTAAAAAACAGGAAAAAAGAGTATAAAATTAAAGACATTTAATTTTTCCTCTTTTAAGTATCCACAGAAGTAATTATTTTTGTCATTGCAAATACTAAGTTGTTTTTTCTGTGACAGTGCTAAACAGTCTGAGTTTTTCACTGTGCTGAGGTAATGAGATTTTATGAACCTGAGGTAGATTACTTAATTGACATTGAAGACTGAACTGGATATGCTCTTCCTAATGAGACGTGACTTGAGTACCTGGAATTTCATTCTGAGAAGATGCTGTACTTTTTTTATTAGCCTTGTTAGGGTGTTGCTTATATTGATTATTAGTGTTGGATCTCAAAGTGCAAGTTTTACGTTGTTCATGGATATCGAAACTGTACTGATTTACACCTGCCAGGAGTGATAGGCTCTTTTACCTAGCAAGGAACTGTTATCACTTACTTATTCAAGGGAAACCTACTTATTTTGACTCATTTCAGGTACTCCATCTGATGAATAAAATGAATCTTCCTCCACCTTTTGGACCAATCACTGCTCGCCCTCCCATGGTAAGTAACATTTTAAATATATGTTTTCAGTACTGTAGGATTAAGTCACAATTTAAAATGTTAGCAGCATAGTAGGAGAGCTAAATTTCTAGAGGAGTGCAAATCCTGCTGCATTTCACTGGTGTTGGTCTTCTAAAGCAATTATTTGGACTGTACTTAGAATAAACCAGCTATGGTACAGCACTGGAATGTTTCAAACTGTTGGTTCACTGTTGAAACTGAAATGGTTTTGGAACCTAAGCCTTCACCGATATGCTTTGACTGTATTCTTCTCAGCAAAGTCCTTGAATCTACATGCAAAGTAAAAATCCAAGGCCGTGGTTGCTGTATTTTTTATCATCTCAGCTTAAAAAAATTAAACCATTCACTGTTATGCTTCAGAAAGCAGATTTTTTTGCTCATGGAAAGTTTTTCATTAGTAATGTAGTTTACCAAAATGGTATTTAGATCCTATAAGCATACTTGGAGAAAATACTTGTTAAGGGATCATTAATTGCTTTTAGTGTTGTTATTAAGAAAACAAGATACGTTTAGGTTTTTTCCTTTAAAAAATTTACTTTTTTAAACTTTTTCCCCATAATTAGTACGAAGAATATTTACCAGTGCCTGTGCCACCTCCCCCAATCCCACCTCTGCCTCCTGAAGAGCCTCCTTTGCCTGAAGAGGAAGAAGGACTGTCTAGTGGGGATGAATCAGAATATGAAAGTGATGATGATGAGGAAAAGGAGAGGTAATGCATTTTACAGTCATTTGCAAGGTTTTGGGCTCACTGAAAGGCTTGGTTTTACTTCTCCAGCTTCTAGTTCAGCGAGTGGTAATGTTTGCAGTATATGCATGCTTCTCATAGAGAGTATTTAGAAATCTTTCTAGATGCTTAGAGAAACTTCAGAGTTCAGAAGGACAGTGCAGGTTTAAATGCAGTATGAAAAGGAAAGTGGCCTATTGGTGTGCAAGTTTTTGTTTGTTCCCATGTCCAGAAAAACCCAACTAAACACAAACTCAGCTTGAAGGGTGCAGATGTATGGAAGCAGAAATTAGATTATTTTCTGAAGTCTTCATTGTTCCACATCTCTCTAAATTGACTCCTCAGCCTGAATTGTATATGCACACTAATTTCCACAACATTCTTTATACATCAGCGGGTATAACTAGGATGTTAATATTTGTGCTGAAGATTCTCTTGCAGTTTTGGGAGTGAATTACATCGTAGCTGTATTTTTTTTAGTCTTTAAACTAACTCTGAATTAAAAAGTAGCTTTTTTCTTTCTGTCTAAACTGAGAAGTAAATCAGAAAGTCCCATTGCTGTATTTGGAAAAACATCATTTGGAAAATGGTACCCCTGTTGAGCATTAGAAAATCGGGTTCAGCTTGGGGCATCACAGCTTCTCTCACAGCTTCAGTGTCCCAGTAAGGAGCATGCTTGGGGAAGGAAGGGCATCACTGACATGTTAAATTTATGGTCAGTCCTTAAGTGCTCTGTGTATATTGATTTGCTGTGTGTTACAGCTTCAGTTTTAAGGTAGCTAGTTTTACAATTATATTCTGAAAAGTTCTGTGTCAAGGGCTTTAAGGAAAGGGGAAGGGTTTTTAAAAGCAGTACTTTCAAATAAGCTGTAAACGTCTGTTTTGTTTTTGTTTTGTTTTTATTTTTGTCTAAAATAGAATGACCAAGTTGATGGAATTAGCAACCCTTCAGCCTAAAAGACCAATAAACACAAAGAAACGTGGTGTTAGAAAAAAGCAAAGAATTAAAGACATGTTGAATGTTCCTGTGTGTACTTCCCACAGGTTTGTAGTTTTTGCACTTATCCTATTGGTTTTATTGCCCTAAAAATCCAAATTTTCCTCTAGTTTGAACTAAAGTGTGCTCAACAACCTTAAAGTGTGTCTGAATCAAGCTCTGTTTGTCTTCCTGTAAACCAATAGAAATTCCTTTTCCTAAAAAGATAACTAGTTTTACATCACAGCTGTGACTGAAGCAATTTGGATTTGTTTGGGCTGCTTCTTAAAACAAAAAATTAAAAGTACAACACTGGAGTAATAGAAACTGTCTTGTTTTAAAGTAAGTTTGGGTCTTAGAACTACAGTTCTGTGCCACAGTAGACAGTAGTGCAGTATTTCGATGTTGTGATGAATGATTGTGAATGTATTTTTACTAATGGCTGCCTGCTTCCTCCAAGTGATTTGCTACATTTTTTTAAAATGTCATATATTTTATATACTAGGTGACAGCAGCAGCAAGGCCAATTATTTTTCATGCTTAAGTTACTGATGAAGGTTTTAATAAATACCTGTGTGTATGTCCTGTGGTACGTGATTGTTGGTTTTGTTCCCACTGCCAGACATACCTTCTGTATCTGCAGTGTTTGTAATCACCTGTAACTCTCTTAGGTGAAATATATGAAATGGAGAACATGTGTTTGTGGTAAACAACTGCTTAAAATCTGACTGGAAGAAATATTGTGTTTGACCATGCATTCATCAGTGTCTGAAACTTTAATTAACGTGTTGTTGTTTTAAACAGTAACTCGCACCCTACACTGTCACCTTCAGATGTCTTTGAGCAGCTGCAGCACGTAGGTCATAAAAAAATAGAGTTTCATATTAGTACTGAGATCCCAGCTGTTCAGATAAACTTGGAAAAAGAAGAAAAAAATGGTAAGAGAGTTTGTACTTCAAATGTATTTAATGTTCAAGTCATGTGGCTTCAGTATATAAAAGGGTGCTGGAATTTGCACTAGGAATTTTTTTACCCTTACTGTATTGGAGCTGTCAACACCAAGTTGCATCATATTTGTATTTGCTGTTTTTTCCGTGTTACAAGCTTTGGAAAGGATCCAGAGAATTTTAAAGGTCTCTCTCCCATGTGCTCTATAGGGTGAATTGCACTGTCTTTTAAATGTTGGGATACAAATGTTACAAATTTTCAGTATTTTGTGGTGTAAATGAATATATCAGGCTAGTTTCAGATTTTCCTTTTCCAGATTTAGAGAGCAGCATCCAAGTGATTGCCAAACTCTTTTCTCTGGTGCACTGATTATCTGCCATAGAAGTGCTGGGCAATGATAATAGTGAGGTGTGATGGCTTTTTAGAGGGTTATGGTCAATCTGTGCTACTTTACAGTAATATCCAGTTTATTTAAGGGAAAATAGAGAAATGGATACAGGATTCAACAGCAAGGCAAATTTTATGCTAACTAATGTGTGCCATGGCCTTTATTTGTGCTACATGGGGTTTTATAGGACCATACAGAGCAGGTGCTTTTGTGAAACCAGGGATTAAGACTCATTTTTAAGGGTGTATTCAAATTGTCTTACAAAGTCTGCTCTACTATAAAGTTGCTGGAAAGTATGGTTTTCTTGCTGACTCTTGATCTTGGTGTCAATAAAGGTACAAACCACTTACATAATTTGTTGAAATTTCAGATCTTTATGCAACCTCGGAAGAAATCAATAATACAGGCTTTGGAAGGATTTTCCCAGCTCCTAGCTCGAATGATAAAATGGAAACTGAAGAGGAGGATGATGAAATACCATCAGAATTTATTTCTAGAAAGGATTTAGAAAAAAACAGACTTTCTAGAGAAGGTATAATTGTGAGAATAGATTATCTAGTAACAGCTTTTTGATTTGTTACAACAAATAGCTTAATTAAGTGCTTATTTTCTTAATTGAGCATATAGTAAATTATTTTATACTGAGCAAACGTGCAAAGTAAATGAACTAAAGCATGGGTTCTTTTTTTGTCTCCAAGAAATGGAAAAGTATTCTGTTTTCAAAAACTACGAGCCAGGTGATCCAAATTGCAGGATATATGTGAAGAATTTAGCTAAACAAGTTCAAGAAAAGGTAAGTAAACAAGCAAATTAAGTATCTATTAAAAGGGCTTTTTCTTAGCATTTATCTTACACCTGCACTTTAATTTCAGGATCTTAAGTTCATTTTTGGAAGATATGTTGACTTCCAGTCAGAGGTGGAACGCAATATGTGAGTTCATTTTGTACTTGGTTAGAATTAAGCCTTTTATATGAACTTCTATGACACTTCTGAAAACTGGGATTTTAAAAATAGCCATATTCACATTTTCTGTCTTTCTGCATAAACAAAAAATGTGTTAGACCTAAAAATCTTCATTTATGAAGATGAAAAAATATAATTTTATGGCGATTGACTGAAGACCCTATTATTTTGCCTTTATATTTTCATTCCCAGATTTGCTTTTCTTGGCTGTGTGACACAGAATGAACCGTGTAGCTGATTTTGTGTATCTGATCATTTTGCATATGTCCTGTTTGCTAGTACTGCACATCAATTTGCCATCCTGAAGTTTAATATTGCCTTTCAGTAAATGGTTTCCCCAGGCAAAATGGTCTCCAAGGACATCACGCCTCCTTGTAGGCTTTGCTTCTGTTTCTGCTATTTCTCCCACCTGAAGCATGAGAATTGTACATTTGTATGCACAATTTGCATTTACTGTGAAATCTGCAAGGTTTGTTAAACATGAGTAATTCCCACTTCCCCATTGTGCCCCTAGGTTTGATATCCGTTTGATGAAAGAAGGCCGGATGAAGGGACAGGCTTTCATTGGACTTCCCAATGAGAAAGCAGCTGCCAAAGCACTGAAAGAAGCAAATGGCTATGTCTTATTTGAAAAACCCATGGTAGTTGTATCCTTTTCTTCAAGCATTTACATTATATTCTTTGTAATCTCTGCCAATCTCTATTTTTGTTGTCATAGTGTTCTGCAAAATAAAAAATGTCTTAAGAAAACCAATCCACATATCACTGTGCACTATTTATGGTAAAAATGCAGAGGCAGCTCTTCTGAAATAGGAAAGTAAAAGTGATTTATTTACGAACAGAATTCGCGGGTCTTACATCTTTGATCCTGCAAAGAAAATACAGAAGGTAATTTAGCTTGCAGAACCACTATATTTAAAATAAATACCAGGTTTTTGACTTGGTTAGGTGTATGTTTACAGAATCAAGAACATAAGAAATGTTCCTGTAAGAGTAAGTGGTTCTACATGGGTTTTTCAGCTGGAATGGTCTCTTTTTGATTGCATAGCACTGTTTTTTTGTGTGAAAGTCCTTTTGTAATTTTCACTTAAATATTTCATAGTTTATTTCAGTTTCACATTAACCACAGCATCTGCTGCTTTTACTGTTTTTCCTCCCATATACTGAGACATCAAAGTTACGAATTCATGCTGGGTTGGAAGTTTGTAAATATCAAACATTTATCCTACTGTAGTTACCCTGTTTGCATTTAACTCATTCCCAGTTAGTTCTCCTTATGGACTCACTAATAACTCCTGTACTGTGTATCAGTGAGGTCCTAATCTTTGACTAATGGACACTGTTATAATACTTCATACTATAGTGGAATTGATTCACAGATAAAGGTGACTTTCTAGACTAAATAGCAGAAGTAATCTTTTTTGTCTTTCCTAATTGACTTCTACTTGCCAGATACTTGTAGTCCTTAATAGAATCTCAGCAATTTGCTCGTTCAGCTAGACCAAAACAAGATGCCAACGAAGGGAAAAGAAAAAAGTAAAACCCTGTGCAAGGTATGGACTCTCTGCCTGAAAGGAGTGGGCTGGGGGTTTTTGTTAGTGTTTGGTTTTATTTACTCTCTCTTTAACAGCTTCTTTAGGAATAGTGATGGAGAGGAAATGTTCCGTACAAATTAATTTTCTTAAATGTGTGCTTATATCAGAAAAACAGAGTGCAAGGTATATAGCTGGTGTAAGTTTAAAACTTTCCTTTTTCCTGTGTTTAAAACCTCAGAGACCAATATTTTCCTAATCCTGATATTGTAGGGTACTTGTTAGTTTCTTTAATCCTTAATCTGCAAAGATAAGGAGATTAATGTGGAATTTTGTGGAATTGGACCACTTGTAGTAATTTTCCAGGGTTTTGGTATTGAAAAGTGTTGCCTCTTAACTCCTTCTTTTCCATCCCTGCCATTGTGAAGTGATCCTGAAGAACTGGTTCCAACAATAAACTTCTGCTAGCTGTAAAGAATCTTTAATTTACAGAAAATGAGTTCTTAGTGCTGTTGCAGTAATTTTTAAACTTGTGTGAATTAGTGAAGGATATTCTGTTGGAAAGTGCTTAATGTTGCATTGATCAAGACTTCCTTTGTTGTGGAATGTGTAGGTCCTCATTTTTCGCATTTAAACATAATGAGAAAGTACCTTCTGGCAGAAAGTTATTTAACTTTTTTTTCTTATCATGTAGCTTTACTTCACTGCTCCTTACTCTGAGTGTGAGAGTAAATCAAGCAAAATCAGCTCTAATTTACCTGAGTGGTCTCATGGCCTGCAGACATTTGTAGAGTGGACTCTAAAATGTCCATGTGAAGTAACTGGCAAGAATAAAAAGCATTTATTTCTCAATCTGCACCCTCTGATACATGAGTTAGCTCAAATTTAAAGGGCACTGACCTTAATTTGTGGTTACAGTTGAGATCTCTCTGGTTATGCCTCCGCTTAAAACAAAATTACCTGAAGTCTTAGGCCGAGCGCTTATGGAACATTACTTAGCCATGGTGTGTTTTTAATCTGGAGCTTGATCCTTGTTACTCTGAAGAAAACCTCAATTTGAAATAAAGGATATGAAAATTTGGTTTTGATTTTTACAAATTGGTTGTAAAGCCCATAGTGTGGTTATTGTGATGGTAGTATTTCTGTTTTTAACAGCTACTCTCTAATTGTAGGTTCTTCATTCCATCCATTGTCTAAGGATTTTTAAAATCACATTTAGGCTTGTTTCTCTCTCTTTGGTCTTATTTCCTATTTTGTGTTATTTGTAGTTTGCAAAATCTGTATTTGTCAAAGATCACTTTTTTATAGGCCTTCTTCTGTACTCGTCATTGAAAAGAGCCTTGGCTAAAGTGTTCTGTTAGGATTAAGTATTTATGAGACTATTTCAGTCTTGTTTGTCACTCCTTTCTTGTTAGAAAAACCTCCTATTTGTATTATTTAGTGTCTACTAAGATTACTAAGGTTTCTTATATTAAAAAAAATTGAAGCATTTTAGCTATTGGAGAACCTGATAGATGAAGTCTGAGCACTTTAATTCTTTTAGGAATTCCATTTTTTTTTCCAACTCATTTTGTGTACTAATTCTGAATTCATTAAATATGCTAAATACTTGAATTGCTTAAAGAAAATAACAAAGTGCTTATTTGTTATAATATTGATGGTCAACTCAGAAGTTTCTTCTAGAATGAGCAAACCCTACTTAGGCAAGATTTAATTGTGCATCTGAAAGTCTTCCCATGAGTTACCATCTTACAGGTGTCTCTGGTGTTCTGTTCATGGGCAGAACTTCTCACTTACCTTGACTGTTTATATGTTGTAATCATAACAGTGTGCCACAGAGTTACACAGGTTTCTAAGGATCCATGAGGTTTAATTAAAAATATTTGTTGCATTTCCCAAATAATGGTTAAGCTGACCACTATTTCTGCATGATTGTTTTTCTGTTCCTGCTGGAATATTCTGATGGATGCTGATTTATGATGCAAAATTCTATGATAAAATTGCTTGAGTCTAGGGTTGTTTTTCTGTTGTGGGTGGGTTTTGTTGTTTTGGGGTTTTTTTG